TTACACAAAATGCTATTGCATTACCTTGGGAGTTTCCAAGCATGGCTGTATGACTGCAACGCTGAGGGCCTGGACTACAATTTCCCGCTGAAGGAAGATGGGGTGCAGGAGGACCCAGGACAGCCTTCCCTGCCCGCCATGGTGGGCAATGGGCCTTTCGATGAATTGATCCTGGAAGACGAGCTCGATGGCTTTCTGGAGCCATGGAATGTGTCAGGCCACAGCCTAGTGGAATACCCGAAGGTGGATTCGCCGCACTTTATTTTGTTATGTTCAACGTGCTGTCAGTATTTCTGCTCTGATTCCAAGAATCTTCGAGGGCTGGCCCAGAAGTGTAAAGGAAAGCGTGGAGGTGGCCGCGAGGTGGAGCACCGACGGCACTTCGATAATCTCAGGCATCCACAGGCGATTCGAGCTCATGTTAGGCTAGAGTCGCCGAGATCGCCATCTGGGCCAGCACGACACATGGTTAGAGTGACCAAGAAGTGGGAGTTAGAGCTGAGCAGCAGCTCCTTTCAGACCCCAATGAAGAAGCTGAGGCTCCTGGACACTGCACGCATTCTCCTGGCACGCGGGCTCGAGTATTTTGGGGCCGTGGAGCTAGGCCGCATTCCCGAAGATGATGATGACGACCAAGAGTCGGAGTGAGTGTGCAGCAGTGGCTGCCTACAGTGGCAGAGCCGCGATGTGGTGTTTGATCCTCGGCGGCTTTGTCAACTTGTTTTGCTTTCAAATCCTGTGCCCTTGGGGCGGCAGGTTCGCTCGTCGCCAGGTGGGTGACTCCTGTCCGAGCTTCTTGTGGTTGCAGCGTGGCTGGCTCTTGAATGCTCTATGTGGCGGGAGCGTCTGCCCGCTTTGCCGTGGTTCGATCGTGCTGCTGGGTTTCAGCGTCCCCGTCGATGGCCACGTCGGCGGCGTTTTTCACGAGGGCTTGCCGTTCGCTGACCTGGCGCTGAACTGGGTGTGGTGGTTGCACCAGCTCACGGCGATGGAGCCTTCGTGGTGCTCTTCGGCGCCCTGGAGGGCCTCGTGCGGGTGAGCACGGGCCTGCCGCGGGCCCCGTGTTCCCTGGCCGCCCGCGGCCGCGTTGAGGTAGGCACGTCCCCCACGCCCCGTCCTGGCGCTTGCAAGGTGGTCCTGGCCTTCGGGCTCCACCGTGTAGGTGCTGGGTGGGGGTTGTCAGGGCTGTACCTCCCTCCCTGTCTCTGGATCCAACCGCCCCTCGGCTTCCGCTCGCTCGCTCGCTCGCTCGCTCGCTCGCTCGCTCCTCTTCCTCCTCCTCCTCCTCCTCCTCCTTCTCCGCCTCCGCCTCCGCCTCCTCCGCCTCCTCCTCCTCCTCCTCCTCCTCCTCCTCCACTTCCTCATCCTCCCCCTCCTCCTCCTCCTCCCCGCTGCCCCTGGCCAGGCCCATCCTGGGCCCAGGAGAGGCGTCGCTCCTGGGCCCAGGATGGGCATGGCCAGTGGGAGCGGTCTCGTCGCCCGACGTCCTCCTGGTCAGGCCCGTCGTCCCCGCACACCCGCCAGCTGCGCGTGGCGTCCCTGGAGATGCCCGCAAAGTCGGAGGCCTCCCCCGTGATGGCGCCCTCAAGGGAAGCAAAAGCTGCATACACAAGCGACCACACGTGAACCCCACCCTTGCAGGTCAGATTTCTGACCAACTGAGTGGGGTTCGAAATTCGGAGGGTTTCTGCGGCGAGGTTGACCCCAGCATGGGTGTCCGATCCCCCAGCGCACCTTGGAACCGCAAGGGTATGGTTCGGAAGTCGTCCAAGAGCAAGAGCATAAACTTCCCGAGGCCCACGCGGAGTTCTTTGATCCGTGCTGGACCCCCCTCCCTGGCGCGCAGAGCGCGCGAGCGGCGGCGTCGGAGGCGCCGCCGGGGGGCCCAGCGAAATCTGCGCGAACCTCCGAGAGTTTATGTTTTTGCCGCTTTTCCCCGGAAGGCGTTCCGCTAGAGGGTTCCAACAGTGGCGAAAAACTGCTGGACCGCTACAGGCCCCTTCACCTCTGATTCCACTCAGGCCCCCGTCGGAGGGACCGACTCCTCGACGATGCTCGCCAGGAAGAAAAGGAGAGAACGCGGCATTGCAATGGTGGTTAAAGTCAAGAGTCCCACAGGGGGGACGGGGAGGCCCAGACCGCCCGGTGCGGAAGCCATTTCGCCTGAGAGCTCCTCGCCACTTCTTCCGGAATCGCGCTCGCGCCTCAAGATGGCACAGAGGACCACGTTCCCTGGCAGAGAAACATACTGAGGTGCACATGGCCGTGCTCACCCCTGTCCCAGCTGCACATATGCTAGGAATCTCCTAGAATAGCTACGACTGCGCGCTTTCCCCTGCTGACCTCCTGCTCCCTGACCCGCCTTTTCACCTCTGCTGCTGTTGGGGTGCTTGCTGGGGCGATGCTTTTTGGATGCGACAGGGGGGTCTGAACAGGCTGGGACCCCATGTTTTTCCCTGAAAGAGGGAGATGGGGAGCGCGCGGCCATTGAATCTCACTTCGGGTGACTGGCACAGCAACGTGAAGCAAAATATGCCAGGCAGACTAGGATCGCTATACGAGCCGACCTGCCATAGAGAAAGTCACGCGTTAAACTACAGCCTGGGGCAGAAGGAAATGACGAGATAAGCGTGGAAGGACACACGGGAAAGGGGAGGGGGAACGAGGAAAGACGAGGATGAGGAACAAAAGGAGGCAACAAACACACACACACACACACACGCACGCACGCACACGCACGCACGCACGCACGCACGCACACACGCACACACGATAGAAGAACCGGAAACGAATCCGAAGCGCTGATGATCCGTGACAAGACGACCGACCGAAGTCGCAAAACCCGAAGAAAAATCTGGAGATCGCGCTGTCGAAGACAATGCGCGCGAGAGATACCGCTCGAGACGTTCTGATCAAAATGGTGCGTTCGAGCAATGTTGCGCTAGAGCCGGAAATGCCCTAGACATACCTCCAAGGCTAGCGACGGCTGGTGTCATTACGAGCACAGCCGAAAGAAAAAACTGATGCCACAACGGCGCTGACTGACGTGCCCACGGCGAGCTCAGGGGCGAGCGCGCGAAGCGGCCCAGCACATAAGACCCGGCGAGGACTCCCCGCCAACACCATGGCCACCCACGGCACGCAGTGGGGGCCACTTGACCGCTCGATGAATCTTGGGGGGAAACATGAAGGGAGGGAACGTCGGCTGGACTGAAGTCCCTTTAGCAAACCTCCATTTAGTGAGAACAGGCCGAAACCGACGAACCTGGACCCGCAAGGAGAACCCGCGACGCCCCCTCGCGAGCCGAGAACGGCCAACGCATCGACGTGTCAGGGTAGGAATCGGCGACTACAATGGGTGCGGTTTGCAAGGGTGCGGTTTGACCCGTCAAATCTGCCCCTCCCGCCTCCGGGAAACGGATGACACTGTCACTCAATGGACCGAGTCACATTCCGAGGAGCACACATCGAGGATGAAAGGTCGCCGAAGCCCGAATTATGACGCTGCCTCTCACAAGAAGGCCCTGGAGAGGCCGGGCAGCTCGGGAGGCACCCGGCAACCGCACCGGTTGGTCGCCGAAAGGTCTGTCCACCCCCGAGGAGGAGGGGGGCCGGGGAGGGGAGGGAGGCAAGCTAGGTGCGCTCGCGTCATATCTGACGCTACCCCTCCCTCCCATCCCTTACCATGGTGCTGATTTTCTCTTTTCGCGGACGCGTGTCGTAGCAGACCTGTGGCTCCGCGCGCGCGTGCGTAGTGGGTGGTGGTAGTGCGTGCGTGCGTGCGTGTGGCGTCGTCGGGGGGGTGGTGGTGGTGGTGGTAGTGGTGGTGGTGGTGGTGGGGGGTGGTGGTGGAGGCTGGGGTGGTGGGTGCTGGTGGCGGTGGTGGGTGCTGGCGTGTGCTGGGCGGGTGGTGGCGGGCAGGGTGGTGGTGGGGGTGGTGGTGGTGCGGGGGTGGTGGCGGGTGGTGGTGGCGGTCGGCGCGGCGGTGGCGGCCGCGCGCGAGCAGCCCGCGGGGGCGAGAGCCATCCTGAAACGGAGGCCAAACACCGAAAATCCACGCTCAGCGGCACGATTCGGAACGATTCGGGAGCAGCCCGGCGCCTCACGAGAGCAGCATTTTGGAAAAATGACGCCGGCGCCTGCGAGAGTCTTTCCCTCCTGAATCCTGTGCGTCACGAACAGTACGCCGAGGGCACGCGGCCATCACCGGACGCCATCAGCGAAGGGGATAGTATTTTCATATGAATAAGTGGAGGGGATCCAGCGACTTCCCCCCGTCGGCCCGCACGCGCAGCGGCGGGGGCAGGGGCCCAGAGCCAGGCTTGCGAGGGGAGGGAGGAGCACTCGAGGGGAGAACATCCACCCCGATCGTGACCACCCCGACACGCGAAGCCGTGCGGCAAGCGCACCCAGAGAAGGAGGCAAGCAGGGCAGAGCTGCTTAGGAAACGCCCAGGGCCGTCCAGCAAATGCCAGTGTCGGGTCCAGGTGGCTTTTCCAGGCTTGAAATATGGGTGAGACACATGCAGACTTTACTGCGGAAGCTGCCAGCCGGCCTGCCGTTCGGGAACCGTCCGGGTGGTGGCCTCCCCTGGCAGACTGTAGCAAGGAGGGCCTGCGAGCCAGAAATGCGGCCTGCACGTGCGCTTCTGATAGACTAGCTATGCATATAATATACAATAGGTAATACAATGTTACAGATATGCCAGTGGCATAAACAGCTGCCATGACGCACCTCAGAACGCCAACGCGGTCACTGCGAATTATCACTGCCAGCGCCGAATGCATTAACTTGGGCGTGGCAAGACAATCTCGCAACCTCCATCCAACACGTCGGACAATTCTAGATCGCCTGGCCCCCAAAATCTGCCGAAGGCAAATCCTCGGAAACACTTCCTGTGCACAGTGGTGGGGCTCGACTCGGACTCCCCCTTGGACATCCACATCTGCTGGGAGATGTTCTTCGAGGGAAGGATAGATCGACCCATTCACACTGAGTGATTACTTGCGCTCGGGCAGGGCCACGCCCTTGTTGATCTCCAATGTGGAAGGAACCAGTGCCATCGGCTCCTTAGCCATGCGCTTGCAGATGCCTGGGAACATTGCGGCGCCACCAGACATCGCCACGTTGGCATCCAGGTCCTTGCGGATATCGACATCGAACTGCATGGTCGACTGGAACGCGGTGTCGTGGACGCCACTGTCTTCCGTGCCCACAAATCCAGGCTGGATGAACACCTCTGTGCAGCGGAAGCGCTCGCTGCCCACGATTATGATGTTCCCGTTGGGGAGCTCGCACGTCTTCTCCTTGTCGGGGCTCTCAGGGGCGACCTTCATCTTGGAGCCGAAGTCGAGCGGGATGAGCAGAGAATTTTCTTGACGTCGCGCACGATGTTTCGCACAGCCGTGGTGATGAAGGAGTAGCCACGCTCGGTGAGGATGTTAATCAAGAACTCCGCAGGGTACCGCACCGCCAAATCCAGGCGCAGGATCGTATGCGGCAGCGCGCAACCCTCATAGATGGGCACGGTGTGCGACACATGCGACGCGCCACCGCCTGATTCCATAACCATCCCAGTGGCGCGGCCTAAAGCGCACAGCGAGAGCACTGCCTGGATCGCGACATACATCGCCGGCGCGTTGAACGTCTCAAACATGATCTGCATCATGCGCTCGCGATTCGCCTTCGGGTCCAGAGTCGCCGCCGTGAGGAGCAGAGGGTGATCCTCCGGAGCCACGCGGAGCTCAAGGTAGAAGGCGTGATGCCAGATATTCCCCACGTCGTCCCACACGACGCCCTGCTCGATGGGGCACTTCAAGGCTAGGACGCCACGTTTGCTCTGGGCCTCGTCGCCCACGTAGCTGTCCTTCTGGTCCACGCCGACCATGATTCCTGGCATCCTGCACCCCTGGGGCGGACAATGAGGCAGAGCGCAACCCAGGACGGACCAAGTGCACTGAGAGAAGAAAACTCTTGCCACCTGGGGCGAACCAGGTCGACGGACGAACCCCGACTCCAACTGTGACTTGAGCCGCCCTGCTTGAGCCAGCCGGTGCCGCCCTGCTGAGCCTGGTGACCCACAACATCTGCCAGGAAGCGGGATGGAGCTAAATCCATTCGAAATCGGGCTCTGGGACCCCTCCTGGGATCCATGTGGCGCAGGCCCCTCCCCTGGATCCGTTTTCGATGGCCCCGGGGCCCGAAAACGAACCCCCGGAGAGGCCAAAAAAGCAACAGCAACAGCAACAGCAACAGCAACAGCAACAACAACAACAACAACAACAACAACAACAACAACAATCATCTTAAGACTCATCGCTCTTATATGCGCGCGCGTCACTCAATATGTAAATCCCAAACCCTCGATACCCACCCTCTTCGTCTTCGGTCATACCCCTTTGGGGGTATATCTTTTTTCCCGGAAAGGGCATAGGCCCAGGGTTCTCTTTTACATGTCCCCGGTGCCCATTTGGAGCTCGAAGTCGAATCAGAGATGCGCGGCAGAAAACCGATTGTCACATGCGGGTGCCAGGTTACAGAGCGCTGCTCTGGCAACGGGGGGGACCCTGCCGCAGGCACCTAAAATTTACACGCTAGCGATGCGACTGTGCTCGGCGGCCGTGCCGCCCGCGTTTGGAGTGCGCCCCGAACGCTCGCATTGTCAATCGCCTCTGTTTGGTTGCGCCGCTGTGCTCGGGCATCGAAAAGGCGATATACCGCTGATACGGGCACGCGGCACCAGGGACTTCACTTCTCGAACATGGATGGAAGACGAGGTAGGACGACGGACGGTGGAGCAGGGAGGCAAAGAGGAACGAGGAATAATGAGGGAGGTGGGAAGGGGCGCTCCCCCGCCCGAGCCGCGGACGCTTTCGACACCATCCAGGGGAGGGAAGAAAGGAGGGGGAACGGAGCAAGGGCGAGGACGACGACGAGAATCAAACTGTGCTGGGCCCGCATATAGCCATATGCTTGCGATTCGGGTGCGCGCGCTTTCTTCGAGGCGCTTCAAGCCCGACCCATACTGAATTCACGAATTCCTCCAAACTGTGTAAACACTACGTTCTGTGTTCCCTCTCCTATACAACTGCCTCAGACCAGAAGGACAGTGGATTCCAAATCGAATCGATACACCTGATCGGCGATCGAAATGACTCGGATCGGCGGAAATCGGCAGGCGAGTCGGGAGGCGTCGAAGCCACAGAAATCGGAAGGCCAGCAGGCCTCCGTGGAGCCATCGGCATCCACATCGGAATCCGACGGCGCATCGAGTCGGAACCGGAAGCCGTCGACATCGAATCGAATCGATGCGGAGGATTCGAAACGAACCCTGTGTACTTAAAACGTCGTGATTTTTACAATACGCGGTCCCTGGAAGTCTCGACCCATTCCCCAGGACCAGCTTTTCATCCTGAGTTGGGCGCCCGAATTATCCGGGGTAACTCGGGTCCGGGGTAACTCGGGTTTGGATTCCCGAACAACGAACCCGAGTTAGCCCTGACCCGAGTTACCCCTGATGATTCTGGGGCTCTGGACGCCCGAATTATCCGGGGTAACTCGGGTCCGGGGTAAATCGGGTTCGGAATCCCGAAAAACGAACCCGAGTTAGCCCTGACCCGAGTTCCCCCTGATGATTCTGGGGCTCTGGACGCCCGAGTTATCCGGGGTAACTCGGGTCCGGGGTAAATCGGGTTCGGAATCCCGAAAAACGAACCCGAGTTAGCCCTGACCCGAGTTACCCCTGATGATTCGGGGCTCTGACTGAGCCGTTCTTGGACGGTCCCGAGGCCCGGCGAGGGCCCCCGGGGGCCAAAATCGGCGACACACCTCCGACTTTTTTTGTTTGCAATGCTTTGGATCTCTCGGGGTCGCGCTCTCTCCCGGCGCGCGGGGGGGGTCTGCCCAGAGCGCGCAGGCCAACCGGCGGCGGAGGAGGAGAAGGGGGGGAGGAGGAGAAGGGGGAGGAGGAGAAGGGGGAGGGGGAGGGGGAGCTCTACTTGTTCGCGTGTCATTCAAAACGAGTTCCCCACACCCTCGATACCCGCCCTTGACGTCTTCGATCACACCCCCTTTGGGGGGATTAATTCTCTTTGCGGGGGGCGGCGGGCTTAGACAGGCGGGCAAACCTGAACGGGCGGACAATCCTTCATGGGCGTACATGTGCCCGCCATTGGAATTGGTGTGGGCCCTGCAAAACGGTGGAGAACGAGGGAAAGTGGGAGGAAGGGAGGGGGAGGGACGAAGGAAGAGGGAAAACGCCAGGAGAGAAGGAGCGAAGAGGGGGGCGGTTGATTAGAGGCAGAGGGAGAGAGAGAGAGAGAGAGAGATAGCAAAAAAACATATAAGAGAGGTAGAGAAAGAGAGAGAGAGACAGAGAGACAGAGAGAAAGGGCAGTGAGAGAAAGAAGGAGGGAGGGAGGAGGCAGGAGAGGGGAGGGAGAAGGGAGGAGGGAGAGGAGGGAGAGGGGATAGGGCAGAGAGGCATAAGGATGAGGAAAGATAGGAGGGAGAGAGAAGGGAGGAGAGGAGGGAGGAGGGAGGGAGGAGAGGGAGGAGGAGCAAGAAGGTAAGAGCGTGAACGGTCGAGGAAGTCCTAGGCAAAAGCGCCGTTCCTGAAGGAAGTATCGGGCGGGAGCCCACGACGGGCGGGCGATCCCCTGACAGGCGGGTCGGGCGGGTGGGACATTCAAGCGGGATGCCTGAGTATGGCGAGAGCGCAATTACTAAGTAAATTGTAGCGGCGTCCTTGGCGCAGCGTGTTTCCTGAGCGTCGAAAGCGCGATTTCTGAATAGATTGTAAGGAAGTCACAGGCGAGACCGCAATCCCACCAGCCCTCTGGGCGTCGGTGGTTTAGGGCGTTTCCTCTTCCACCCCTCCCTCTTCCCCTTCGGGGAGGGCTTTTACCCCCCGACCCCTCCCCTGGACCTGGACGGGGGGGGTTCGCGAGTCGTCGGAGCGTCCAAAACGGCCTCGGCGAGGAAGCCAAACTCATTGGTTTTACTACGGTCTTGTCCCCATTTTGGCCTCTTGGGGGGGACGCTAATTGAACACATCTCCTCCTGTGATCGATCTCACCCAAGATGGTCCAAAGATGGCCCCCAAGGCTCCATAGGGTGCCCCAAGGGGGCCCCAAGAGGTGGCCAGGAAGCCCCAAGAGGCCCCCAGGATGCCCCCAAGAGGCTCCCAAGAACCCCCCAAGAGGCCCCTAAAGACCCCACAGAGGCACCCAAGATGCTCCAAGAGGCCTCGGCGAGAATGCCAAATCATTGATGTCACTAAGGTTCTAGCCACATGTTGACCTCTTGGGGGGGGCACTGATTAAGATGACTCCAAGAGCGCCTGGGAGAGCCCACGATGACCTCCAAGATGACTCAAGATACCCCGAGATGTTTCAGAATGGCTCCCACGATGCTCCAAGATGCCCCAAGATCGCTCCAAGACGGCTCCCGGTGGCCAAAGAGCTCCCGCAGGAGGCCCCGAAGAGGCCAAAGCCCTCTGGGCGTCGTCGGTGGTTTAGAGCGTTTCCTCTTCCGCCCCTCCTTCTTGGGCGTCGGTGGTTTAGAGCGTTTCTTCTTCTACCCCTCCTTCTTCCCCTTCGGGGAACCGCTCTGGACGCATCCTGGGGGGAGACGCTCTGGACGCCTCTTGGGCTCGTTTTTGGAATCTCTGGCGCCGTTGGGGGGCCCTGCCGGCGGGTCTGAGGGCCCCCTTTTGCTATGTCGACGAGAAGGCGGGCGGCAGAAGTCCCTTGGGCGGGAGCATGCTCGGTGATGGTCGCCAACGGCGGGACAGCCCCCGCCCGGCCATGCGTTGACATCGTGGCGCCAACGGCCACCATTATTCTAAGATGCCGACTGCCGTGCGCAACAATCCAAATAAAAAATGCCCGGGGACGGCCTGGCCACGGGTGAAGCACGTCGTGGCGCCAACGACCACCAGTCCTCTAAGATGCAGACGGCCGTGCGAAGAATCCCACCAGCCCTCTGGGCGTCGGTGGTTTAGGGAGTTTCCTCTTCCACCCCTCCTGCTTCCCCTTCGGGGAAGGGTTATCACTGTTTTCCTATTAGCATACACCCCTCCCCAGACGACGGGGAGCAAAACATACTCTGCCTCAAAATTCGGGAGCATGCGCAGCGAAACCCGATGATGTCTCCTCCCACCATCCCTGTCCAAAAAAGAAACACTACACATAAACATTTGGCGGCGGCGGCGTGCGGCGGGGGGCAGCGGCTGCGTCGGGCTGCGGCGGTGCGCGGCGGTGGAGGCGGCGGCGGAGTGGGGCGGCGCGGCGGCGGCGGCGCCGGCGGCGGCGGCAGCGGTGGCGGCAGCGGCTGC